CTTGATATCCTCCACAGTTCATCTGGTCTTTACTCATTAGAGTTCAGGGCCTCAAACCTGTTCCTAAGATAGTTTTGAAATTCAGGTGGGATAGACTCAGGGTCAAATTTTGGTTCCCGTGGATTTGATATAATTTTCCTTAGCTTCACCTTGAACTAGCATATCGGTAGTTGGTGGTCTGTACCACAATTAGGACATGGCCTAGTTTTCATAGCTGACCTTGAGCTTCTCCAGCCATTCTTTCCACAGATGTAATCGATCTGATTCCTATGCATAGTATCAAGTGAAATCCATGTTTATGACCTTTGTTTATGTTTCTTATTAAATGTATTTGCAATGAATAAGCAGTCATTGATTCTGCAGAATTCTGTCATTCTATCTCCAGCTTCATTTCTGTTAGATGAATCTTGGCTGAAAGCAGGGAGTGCCAAAGGAATATCTGTCTGTATTTCATTGACTATGCAAAGGCTTTTGACTGTTTGGATCACAACAAACTGTGGTTGACTCTGAGAAGAATGGGAATCATAGAACACTTTGTGTATGTGAAACCTATAATTGGAGTAGGAGGCAGTTGTAAGAACAGAGCAAGGAAACACTGCATGGTTCAAAATTGTGAAAGGTGTACACCAGGGATGTGTCCTAACTCCAAACCTTTTCAATATATATGAAAACAGATTATCTGGGAGGCTGGGCTCTTTGAGGAGAAGTGTGAAATCAGGATTAGAGGAAGACTCATCAACAACCTGCATTATGCAGTTGACACAGTCCTGCTTGCTGAAACTGAGGAGGACCCTAAAGCATGTGATGGAGAAGGTCAAAGACTGCAGCCTTCAATATGAATTGAAGCTCAACGTCAAGAAAACGAAGATTCTCACCACTAGGCCGATTGGCAGCATCATGATGAATGATGAAGAGATTGAGATTGCCAATAGCTTTAGTTTGTTTGGCTCCACAATCAACACTCTTGGTATCAGCAACCAAGAAATTAGAAGATGAATTGCATTGGGAAAGTCTGCTGTCAGAGACCTCTCCAAAGTACTGAAGAGCAATGATGTCAGTCTAGGGACTAAAGTGTGCTTAATACAGGCCATGGTCTTTGCAGTTAATTGCTGTGCATTAGAGAGCTGGACAATGACTAGGGGTGATAGAAGGAGAATTGAGGCCTTTGAGCTGTGGTGGTGGAGAAAAGTATTGAATATACCATAGACTTTTAACAATTCATCCTGGAGAGTGTAAAGCCAGGCTGGTCCTTGGAGGCAAGGATTCTGAAGCTTCATCTGGCATACTTTGGACATGCTGCAAGGCAAGACCAATCCTTAGAGAAGGACATCATTCTTGGGAGGGTGGAGGGACAGCACAGGAGAGGAAGATTGATTCAATGAGGTGGATTGAGTCAGTGACTGGGGTAATTGGGGTGGGTATGTCAGAGACAGTGAGAATGGCACAGGACAGAGCAGGGTTTAGGGCTGTTGTACATAGGGTCACCATGAGTAGCAGGCAATTCACTGGCACATAACAACAACTGGTTTGCTTGCAAAGTTCGGATACATTGTTTTTCACACCATATCTTTTCCTTTCCCACCTCTTCTACCTTCCAAGTTGTGCGACCCTGTGATCACCTCCTTGCACATCCTCACCCCTCTCCTCCTACGCTTCTCCTCTTGGATCCTCATACCCATTTTACTAGTTATCATTCAACAATAATGGTCTTATAGAGCATTTGTCCTTATGAGACTGAGTCAGCATAATGCTCTCCAATGCCTTCACCTCCTGATCATTAACTCATCTTCATTGCATGTTTGGTCACGTTCGGACTGCAAGATTTGGTAAAAATTCTCCATTTCCTCATCTTTGACTCTAGGTATAGGATTGACTAGGAAACAGATTTGACTATCCATTTTTTTAAATAACCTTTGAAAACCATGTGAACATTAGAAGAATGAGTATAGTTCTAGCAGTGTCGTGATAGAGCCCAGATTGGAAGTCAATTGAATTGAGAAAAAAACATTTTTTGCAAGCTTTGTTTAATAATTGGAACATGGAATGTATGTAGCTTGAATGTTGGAAAACTGGAAATTAAAAAAAATGAAAACGGAACACATGAGCATCCATATTCTAGGCATTTGTGAGATGAGATGGAACAGCTTTGGCCACTTTGAATCAGATAATTATATGGTATACGATGCTGGGAATAAAAGACAGGAAAAGAATGATGTTGCATTTATAGTCAAAAAGTCCATTTCAAGTTCCATCCTAAAATACAGTGTTGTGAGTGATAGGATATTTTCCATATGCATACAAAGAAGACCCCGTTAACACTGACTGAAATAGACCCATATTTATTCTTATTAAAAAAAAAAAAGGTGACCCAGCAGAGTGTGGAAATTGTCGGACCTTATTGCTAATATCATACACAAGCAAAATCCTGCTGAAGATTATCCACAATTGACTGTAACAGTACATGAGCAGAGAACGACCACAAATACAAGCTGGGTTTTGAAAAGGTCCTGGCACTAGATACTTACTGTCAATGTCAGATAGACCTTGACTAAAAGCAAGAGGAATGTCTATGTTTCATTAATGATGCATTATGATTGCGTGGATCAACAAATGGTAGCTAACCTTGAAAAGGATGAGAGTCCCAGGACACTTGATTGTGCTCATGTGAAACCTTTACTTGGACCAGGAAGCAATCAGTAAACAAAGCAAGGAAATATTGCATGGTTCAAAATCAGGAAGAAATGTGTCATGGATGCATTCCATCTCCATACCTTTTCAGTTTACATACAGAACAGATCATTCGGGAGACTGATATTTATGAGGAAGAATGTAGCATCAGGATTGGAAGACTTAATCAACAACCTGCAGTATGCAGATGACACTGTGGAGGACTTGAAGCTTTGCTGCTGAAGGTCTTTGATATAGATTGAAGCTCAGCATCAAGAAGACAAAGATTCTAACCACTGGGCTAATTGGCAGAACGATGATAGATGGGAGAAGAGATTGAGGTTGTTAACAGTTACAGCTTGCTTGGATCCACGGTCAACACTTTTCGCACCAGCAGTTAGGAAATCAGTTAGGAATTGCACTAGGGAACTCTGTTGCCAAGGACCTCTCCAAAGTGCTAAAGAGTAATAATGACAATCTAGTGACTAAGATGGATCTGATGTAGGTCATGGTCTTCGCAATTACTTGCTGTGCATCAGAGAGTTGGACAATTACTAAAGATGATAGAAGAATCATCAATGCCTTTGAGTTGTCGTGCTGGAGAAGTGTACTGAATGTATCATGGATCACTAAGAGAACAAACAAGTTTCTTTTGGACAGGGTGAAACCAGGTTTCTCCTTGGAGGCAAGAATTTTGAAGCTTCCTCTCACATAATTTGGGCACATGGCCAGGAGGGACCAGTCCTTGGAGAAGGACATCATTACTGGAAGGGTGGAGGAACAACTCAGGAGAGGAAAACCCTAGATGAGAAGGATTGACACAGTAACCAAGAGGTGTGTTGAGGTCTGTGGTTCAGGATAGGGCAGAGTTCAGAGCTGTGTACTTGGGGTTGCGATGAGTTACCAGCGACTCAATGGAACATAACTGTGAATGGGAGAAGGCTGTTGCATAAAGAATAAAGTAACACATGATTGTCATTTCAGAATTTTTGTTATTAAAGGTTCTGAATTATGTTCTTTATAAATAACACACACTGTTAGTATTAAAGCAATGAAGATTTACTTGTGCTTTATTATGAGAAATAGAGCACTTGAATAAAGAATTCACATGAACTAAGATTTGGCTGTAAAACCGCTAGTACAACCTTTATTGCTTCTTATAAAAACATCCCAAACCATCCTCTCACACTAATCCTAAAGTATTTTTCTAAGAAATGACGACTTTTAAGGAGTCAAGCTGTAATGTTTCAGGTGGAATGGCTTTATTTCCTTCAGTATAAAGATGGGAAAACTGAGACCTGTCAGTCTAGGGATCTTCCACTGTATTATGCTGTCATTAGATTCACCTTTAGAATACTGATTCTCTCGAAAGCAGTCAGAATCTTCACTACATTTTACCTAATTTGATGACATAGTTTGTTTTGAACTTTCCACTTCTTCAGTCAATTTTACCGTAACGTAAAGAATGAAAAGTATTGAATACTAGCACAATCCCTTCCCCATCCTGTCATCCTTCAATAGTACTTTCTGAGAAACTAAAAAAAAAAAGTTTCTTCCCAAAAGTGTTTGGTCACAGTTCTTAATACAGGGCACAGCCTATGATTGGGGAAGGAGTGGCACTGGATAACCGACTGTGATAACATACTTTTCTTTTTCTCCCCTAGTATCATCTAGACTGTCACAGCCATCTTCCCCTCAGTCAGGCTGTCCATCACCCTCCATTCCAGCAGGTAAAGTCATTTCTCCATCACAGAAGCACAGCAAGAAGGCACTCAAGCAGGTAATCATGCTAGTCTCTGTTTATCAGAAGCATAATCTCCTCCTTTAGGAAATGTTCAGCTCTGCGATCTGCAGAATTTCCTGAAGGCATCTACAATAAGTTGTTTTTTTTGTTGTTTTGCTTTGTTTTTTCAGTAGGCTGTTTTAAAGGGTAATTTTGTACAATATTGTAATTGGTCACTTCAATCATTTATGTACCCTTTTGTGAATGTTCTGTATTCTAGTGGTTTTGTAGTGGTTTTATCACATATTAAAAGTTCCTAAATTACTTCTCATTACCTAAGAAAGGTTTTTAATTTTTATATATCTTTTTGTCAACACTCATTGTCAGTTTGTCATACTGTCCGTGTTCACGTCCAGCATTACTGTGATACTGGAAGCCATGCCACTGGTGTTTTAAATACTGGCAGTGTCACTCATGGTACACAGGTTTCAGGACATCTTTCAGAGTAGGATGCTGGACTGTCTGTCCACTTAAGAAATAATACAGTATTGAGAAAACTTCATGACTAGATGAATAACATTTGAGCCATATCTGATCCAGGGAGATGAGGCCCTCAGCTTGAAAGGCATTAAAAACACGACTGAGGAAGACCTACCTCCTCAGAGTAGAGTCTACTTAATGATATGAATGGGGTAAAGCTGTATGGATTTTCGTTAGTGATGTGGCACAGTTCAGAAGGAAAACAATTAGTGGCAGACATCCAGTAATAATTGAAAGTACAATGTACAAAGCACTAATTTAGGAAAATTAGAAGTTGTAAGCAATTAAATGAAAAGCATACATATCAAATCCTGGGCATTAACAAGCTGAAATAGACTGGTTTTGGCCAGTTGAAATAAGATATATACGTGGAATACTACCATTGGGATGACAGTGTGAGGAGAGATGGGGTCATATGCATCGTGAAAAAAAGAACATTTTAAAGTTTCTTCTGCAGTATGATGCTGTCGGAGATGGGATAATATTCATACATACACAGTGAACACTGATTAATACTGTTATTCAAATTCACACACTAGCCAGTTAAAGTCAAAGAAAAAGAAATTGACGATTTCTAATTATATAGTGAAGATGCATTAGTAATAACTTATGGTTGGAATATAAAAGTTAAATTGATGACAAGTTGGTGCATGGAAAATATATGACTTGAATGCACAAATGATGTCAGAAATAGCATGATAAAATTTTGTGTACAAATTACTTACATATTTTTTTTAAAAGGTTATCTTTTTTAAAAAAACCATAATAGACAACTATACGTATAAACCTCACAGGATGGAATACAAAGGAATCAAATCAACTATATCTGTGGTACAAATAATGGAGAAATAACAGTATCATCAGTGAAAACAATGTCAGCAGCTGACCATGGCTTAGTTTATCAGTTCTTCATATGCATGTTCAAGTTGAATCTGATGAAAATGAAAACAAATCCATGAGATCAAAAATTTAACCTTGAATGTATTCCACCTGAGTTAAACCACCTCAAGAATATATTTGATGATTAAATACTAATGACAAAAGTCTAGACAAGTTAAGAGATTACTATCCATGAAAAAAAAAATCATTAAAAGGGTTGAAAAGACTCTGAAATTTACTTTGAACATAAAGAAACTAAAATGAAGGAAGAATGGATTAAATAAGAGAGCTGTAAAGAAAATTTCCAAGGGCAGCCTGAGAAGACAAATCAAAGTGTTATAAGGAAATATGTAAAGAAATACATAGTTAGAAAAACTACAAATGAAAGAACACAATTAGCATTTCTCATGCTGAGACAAGTGAAGAAAAACCATCAAGCCTCAAGAGACACTACTGAAGGATTCTGTGGGGAAAATATGGCATGATCCAGAGAACATCAAAAGAGGATTAGAAGGTAAAGCAGAGTCACTTTGCCGAGAAGAATTAGTCCGGGCTCAGATATATTAGATCATCAGGAATCAGTGGTACCTTAGGAAGATGTTGAGGTTGCACTGAATTCATTGTTGAAAATAAAAGGCTTCCAGAATCATTGGCTACAGTGCTAGTCATAGTCAAGACTTCTTGTGCCAAGAAATTTGAAAGAAAGCTATCTGGTCAACCAACTAGAAAAGATTTATTTTCCTGCCTATTCTAAAGAGAAGTAGACCAGGAGAATAAGAAAATTATCATTATCACACTAAAGTAAAATCTTGCTGAAACTATTGAAAAATTACTGGAATGGTATACACCAACAAGGAACTGGCAGAAATTCAAGCAGGACTCAGAAAAGAAGATGGCATAACGACTTTTGTTGGAGTGTCAGATGAATCTTGGCTGAAAGCAGAGCACACCAGAGAGAAGTTTATGTTTGTTTTACTGACTGTGCAAAAGCCCTTGACTTTGTGAATCATAAATATGGGTAGTGTTGAGAAGAAAGGAAATTCAGAACACTTAATTGGACACATATAGGTCTGCTACATAGACTGAGAGAGAGTCTTTCCAACAGAACAAGGAGATATTGTATGTGTCAGGGTTATAACCTTTAACTGTTCAGGCTATATATTGAGCAAATAATCTGAGAAGCGGCCCTAGATAAAGAGAAATGGGACATGAGGATTTTCTGCAGCCTTATTAAAACTCTGCTACATGTGGTTGAAGCAGATGAGGGAGAGAACTGTATAAAAGGAATATATAATTAAGTATTATTGGTATGACAAGAGTCCAGAATAAGAGCTGTATAGTAAAATGGTTGGGGAGTGGAGTGTATAACAATGAAAGAACTTTTTTTCCAAAGAAAAAAGTGAACCTGGGGGGAGGAGAACAGGGAGGAAAATGTGCAACAATGACAAACAAAAAACAAAACTTTTTTACATGCAGATAACACACTTTGCATGCAGAAAATGACGAAAACTTGAAGCATTTACTGATGAATACCAGAAACTACACAGCCTTCAGTATGAATTACATCTCAACATCAGGAAAACAAAAATCCTTACAAACTGGACCGATTAACAACATATTAAAAAGGAGAAAATATTTTCACAAGCAATAGCCTGTGGAAACAGCAATCAAGAAATCACCTGATTTAAAGGACTTCTTTACAGCTGCTAAAGAGTGTGGATGTCATTCTAAAGACCAAGATTACACCTGACCCAAGCCATAGTATTTTTCATTTGCTACTTACACGTACAAGGAAGACCTGTTAAAACCAATTTCATTCAAATTTATGCTTCAACAGCCAGAACCAAACAGGAGGAAATAGATGATTTCCACCTACTGTTGCAGTCAGAAATCAATTAAACATGTAATAAAGATGCATTTAAAATAATGGATGACTGAAATGTGAAAGTTGGGAACCAGAAAGAAGAATTAGTAGTCAGAAAATATCACCTTGGTAACGGAAGTGAGGATGGGGATAGGAGGACAGAATTATGTCCAATCAATGATTTATTTATAGCCAATACTTTTTATAAGAATCATAAATGTAGGCTGTACACATAAATTTCACCTGATGGTATGCACAGGAATCATATGAATTACATTTGTGGAAGGAATCGGAGAATTTCAGTATCGGCAGTGAAAACTAGGTCAGGTGCTGGTTGTGGAACAGACATCTACGACTCATAAAAAGTTCATATTAAATCTAAAGAAAGTTAAGTCATATCCACATGAATAAAAGTTTGATCTTGAGTTAAATCCTCCCCTCCGCCATTTAAAAACCAACTCAGGAACAGGTTTGAGGCCTTGAACTCTAATGAACAAAGGCTAGATGAGCTGTGGGATGATCGGGGAAAAAAAAATACTGTCCGTGAAGGATGCGAAAGGTCATTACAAAGAAAAAAGAAGAAGACTAAAAGGGATGGCAGAAGAGACTCTGAATATTGCACTAGTGTGCCAAGAAGCCAAAGAGAGGGAAGAAATCAAGAAGTTAGGGAGCTAAGTAGAAGACTTAAAAGGGCTACTCAGGAAGACAAGACAAAGTATTATAATGAAATGTACAAGGAGCTGGAGTTGGAAAATCAAAAGGGTCAAACTCACTGAGCATTTCTTAAGCTGAAGGAACTATAAAACAAATTCAAGCAATGAGTTGCAATGCTTAAGGATGCTATGGGTAGAATAGTGAATGATTCAGGAAGCATTAAAAGAAGGTGGAAGGAATATACAGAGTCACTGTAGCAAAAAAGAAATTGGCTGATACAGAAGAATTTCATTAAACAGCATATGATAAAGGAGGCAGTGATGATGGAGGAAGTTCGGGCTGCTCTGAAAAACTTGGCAAAAAATAAAGCCCCAAGAATTGATGGAATACCAGTTGACGTATTTCAACAAACAGATGCTGCCCTGGATGTGCTCACCAAGTTATGCCAAGAAATCTGGAGGACAACTACTTGGCCAAGGCCAACTGACTGGGAGAGATCTATATTTATTCCCTTTCCCAAAAAAAAGGTGACCTGACAGAGTATGATCCTGAAGATTGTCCAGAAATGACTAGAACAGAACATTGATAGACAGTTACCAGAAATGCAAGCTGGGTTTAGACAAGGTGATGGCACTAGAGATATTATTGCCAGTGTCAGATGTATCTTGGCAGAAAGCGGAGAGTACCAGAGAAATGTCCATCTGTGTCTCATTGACTATGCAAAGGCTTTAGACTGTGTGTTTCTCAACAAATTGTGGCTAACCTTGAGGAAAATGGGAATCCCAGAACACTTGATTGTGCTTATGCGAAACCTATACTTAGATCAAGAAGCAGTCCTCAAAACAGAGCATGGTAATGCTGCTGTCTGGTTCAAAATCAGGAAAGGAGTGCATCAGGGATGCATCCTGTCTCCATACCTTTTCAATATATATATACAAAACAGATCATTCGGGAAGCAGAGCTTTATGAGGAGGAATGTGGCATCAGGATTGAGGGAAGACTCATCAACAAATTATACAAATGACACAACCTTGCTTGCTTAAACTGAGGAGGACATGAAGCACTTGCTGCAGAAGGTCAAGGATTGTAGTCTTCAATAGGAATTGAAGCTTAACATCAGAAAGACAGAAGATTCTCACCACTGGGCTAATTGGCAGCACCATGATAGATGGAGCATAGATTGAAGTCAGCATTCTTGACACCAGCAGTCAGAAATCAAAAGATGTATTGCATTAGGAAAATCTGCTGTCAGGAAAATCCTTTCCAGAGGACTGAAAAGCAGTGATGTCAGTCTAGAGACCAAGGTGCACCTAATCCAGACCATGGTCTTCGCCATTACTTACTATGCATCAGAGAGCTGGAAGTGACTAAGGATGACGAAGAATCAACATCTTTGAATTTTGGTGCTGGAGAAGAGTCTTGAACATATATGGACCACCAAGAAAACAATTAGGTCAGTCTTGGAGATGATGAAACCAAGTTTCTCCTTGGAGGCTAGGATTTTGATGCTCTGTCTCACATACTTTGGGCCTGTGGCCAGCAGAGCCTGATTCTTGGAGAAGGACATCATTCTCAGCAGGTGGAGGGACAGGGCAGGAGAGGAAGACCCTGGATGAGATGGATTGATAAAGTAACTGGGACAATTTGGGTTGGTGTGTCAGAATTAGTGATACTGGCTCAAGACAGGGCAGGCTTCAGAGCTTTTATACATACGGTCACTGTGACATATGCATGCACATGCACACAAACACATAAAAATATCCTCAATAAGGATAATTAAATTTATGACTGGTTATTTCTTAGAATTGAGCCGCAAAGTTAAGAGTGTGTGGGGAAAAGTATGTACCCTGGACCAACAGGCAACATCACAATAGATAGAGAAAACTTGGATCCACAGTCTGCATTCTTGATACTAGCAATCAGGAGATCAGGATGTATTGCATTGAGAAAGTCTGCAGTCAGAAGCCTTTCCAAATTATTGAGGAGCAATGATCTTAGTTTGAGGACTAAGGTGCCTGATTCAAGTCATGGTCTTTTCAGTCACTTATTAGGCATCTGAGAGCTAGACAGTGAATAAAAATGAAACAAGAATTGATTTCTGTGACCTGTGATATTGGAGAAGAGTACTGAATATCTTATGAACCACCAAAAAGAACAAACAGGTCTTAAGAGAGAGTGCTTCTTAGAGGCGGAGATGACAAAGCTGCTTCTTAAATACCTTGGGCATGTTGTTAGGAGAGGGTATTCCTTGGAGATAGATGATATGCTTGGAAAAGTGGGGGGTCATCAAAAGAGAGGAAGACTTTCAACAAGATGAACTGATAAAGTGACTGCTGCAAGGGGCTCAGGGATGGTGAGAATGGCACAGGAAAGGACAAGGTTCAGATCTGTTGTTCATAGGGTCGCTTTTAGTCATAGTGGCACCTAGCAACTACATAGAAAAGAATAACTTTTGTTAAAATTAAGTATTAGAAATTGTATATATCTTCAAAGTAAGCTAAAAGTGCTTTTATTAAAAGAACATCCTCACCTTTGATAAGATTAATTACTGCCTGCCTAGATACTTGTAGAACTTACATTTTTGTAATTTCTTTGGAGAATAAGTATAAGATACTTCCTTTTCATAGGCAGTGACAAGTATTAAACTTTCTTGGCTAATCTGTAACATGTATATTTGTATTATATTGTATATGTATACATTATATGTATATAATCTGTAACTTTTGTTGTCATATACTTTATTTTTATAATCCAAAAAGTCAAATAATCACATTTTCTTTATGCCATCACTGTTGTTATATAACATCAAGTCAGAACCAACTCATAGCTTACCCTCCAGCAGGTTTTGAGAAGCAATAAATGGATAGGAGGAGATTGCCCACCCGTCTACAAAGAAGCTGGTGGATTTGAACCGTGTGCCTTTAGGTTGGCAGCACAACTCCTCACTATTAGGCCAGCAGAGCTCCATATGCCTATCACTAGGGAAAATGAAATAAATTCTATTGTTGCACAGTACGTCTTTTTTTCTGTAGTATTGTCATAGAAAAACTAATTCAGTTGTAGTTCTTTTGCATCACAATTAAGGTTTTTTAAAAACAGAAAAGTAGTTAAAAAAAGTATTTCTTTTCAAATTTTAAAATTAGAAAATTAGGAATAGGACTTATAAATCCCTGTGTAAGTTCTTGATTAGCACAAGTTACTCTGTTTTCATCATGTGTTTTAATTTACATGATTGCAGTAAAAGTAGGTTGATTTTTGCTTGACTTTAGTGTTTCTGGAGTAATTTTAGAGGATGAGAGTATAAACCATATTAGTGGTTAGGCAACACTCCCACTTCTTACACATTGAGCCTGTTTCTCACCTATTTCTAAAAATAGTGAGTCCACGCCAGATGTTCAACTCTTCAACAACTCTACACGATGTTCTTGAAGATTAAAACTTGAAACTAGCAATTAGTGAAGTTCCCAGTCTTTTTTCCCTGAAATGTAGCTTTGCTTTTTTTAAAGAAAAAAAAAGCTCAAGTTCCAAAAATTACTGTCATCAATTTTAATTATCAAAATAATAGGAAGTACTGATTTTTTTTACCCATGAGTATAGTCAGTAAACTCAGAATCCAATGGAAATAAAAGTATTCTGACATGATCAGGAAGAATCACACGGTTACTAGAACAATTATTTTCCAATCTTTCTTTTCTGTTCATTGTATTACCGAAGGTCATTGGACCAAATCCTACAGCTCTCCCGTTACTCACTAAAATACTCATTTACAACGACTTCAGCCTCTTGTGTATAACATATATGTGTATAATCTGAAATACACCTAAGCTAAATGTTTGCACTAAATATTTTCTGCATAGAAGTGACATACGGTTTCCAGAAATTAGCGAAAACATAAGTCTGTGTTAAGATAAAAGCTTGAGAAATCTTTGACTTACTGATGATTTTTTAAGTTATAAAAAATATAAGGAGTATCTCTTTCTTACATGTTTATATTATAACATATTTGTATATGTTATTTTCTACCTTTGAATAATACTGACCCAAAAAGGGGCGGGGGGAATACTCAAGGCATTGCTGTGTATTTAGTTGGATAATTTGAGGGGAATTTGCTGTGCTTTAAGTAGATTTTTTTAAAAAAATGCGCTGACCACCGCTTTTAAAAAGTCACACTTGATCTTGATCTTGCTATTTGTTTCTTATAGTCCGTTTTCTCATTATAGGCTCTAAAGCAGCAACAGCAGAAGAAGCAGCAGCAGCAATGCAGACCAAGCATGTCCATCTCCTCCGGCCAGCATCTGTCTTTAAAGACTGTCAAAGCCGCCAGTGATCCTGCGCCTGCCAAACCTGGTAGGTAGATGGGACATTATTTGTTGTCAGTGGAACTTTGTTTTCCTTGGTGTTTTTGTGTTGATTTTCCAAATTTACAGACAACATTTGTCTTTATCTTATCATATTTATATAATACTGACAAATCATCAATCTAAATCCTTCTAAGAGCAATGGGAGAAAAAAATCATGATAAATAATCATGCAGTTATTAATAAAGCATCAATGGAATTTGCACATAGAGGTGAGCACAGTTGCTTACTTTCAAGTTGTCTGATGTTGGATCCCTCTGTTAAGTAACTTCATAAAGAATCACTCATGGTTCTTGAAGGCATCCTAGATGGAACCCTTAGCAGTTTTCCCTCCTTAAAAATTAAGTTTTCTTAATTAATACATGCTATCTTTGAGTTTCCATTGGACATGCCCATAAGGCCTTTGGGTTTATGTTGTTGTTGCTGCTTGTTTTGTTTGTACTATAAGCTATTCTGCAGAGTTTTTCATTTATTACATAATTTGTTTTGATGCCATAGACTAATTATATCGGTCTGTCAGACTTAATCTATGTCTTGTAGACTTTGCCCCTTTTTTTGCAGAGGAAAATCATGCCCCAACACTAATAGGAAAAGGGACTTACTTTAATTGTTGGTTTCATTATTCTCAACCTCAGGATTACTTTATCTTATATATAGTTCCATTTAGTTAGCGCTAAATGATTGATTGATTTCCAGCTATAAATAATGATCTTTACATGTGTTTCACTTAGGAGTATGGGAAGGAAAGCAAACTGATGGACAGTCAACAAGCCCCCAAAACTCAAACTCCAGTTTTTGTTCTTCAGTTAAAGTAGAAAATCCTTTGCTCGGCTTGGGAAAGAAGTCATTCCAAAGGTCTGACAGGCTGCACACAAGTGAGTGAGTTTACAGAGACATCAGTTTCCTTGTTTTTTTTTGTCAATTGTGTGTGTGTATTCATTAACTTTTGTTTCTCTTTAGGGCATGATTTGAATTAGGTGCCAGTGATGATATATTATTTCTATCTTTTTAACACTGTTGCTCTTAAGGACCAAACCCGCAGCATGGAAGGATTTGCACTAGCATGTCCTTCTATCATTTTTTCTTGCTCACCTATTGACATGTGACTGTCTTCATGTTCACCTCCTCTTAACCATATCAGATTTTATTTCAGAGAAAGACCTATTTTGAGCTATATTGTGCTTGCTTTTTCTGCCAGTATTTTGGTCCCCTATGTCTGTGTATAGAAAGGTGTTTGTTGTTGTTAGGTGCTATTGAGTCATGTATGACCCTATGAACAATAGATTTGCACCCTGTCCTATCCTGTGCCATTCTCACACTTCCTGACACATTAGAGCCCATTGCATTAGTCACTGTGTCAGTCCACCTGGTTGAGAGTCTTCATCTCCATCTCTGTCCCTCTGCCTTTCCAAGCATCAAGGAATAGCCCCTCCTAGCAACATGTCCAGACTATGCAAGGAAAAGCTTCATCTTTGCCTCCAAAAAGCACTCTGGCTGCACCCTCTCCAAGACTTATTTGTTCTTTTGGCCATTGATGGGATGTTCAGTGCTCTTCTGCAACACATTTGTTCTTCTGTCATCCTTATTCATTGTCACAACAACTAATTATAACTAACATTCTGAAAGCAGGAAGACCATTAGTATATCCAGTTTCACTCATTTAGACTGTTGTTAATATAGTGTTTCATACTTTGCTCCACATGTTGTTGTTGTTGTTATTGCCGTCAAGTCGCCTGCGACTCATAGCGACCCTATGTACAACAGCCCTAAACTCCGCTCTGTCCTGTGCCAATTGCACCGTCTCTGACACTCCCATCCCAATTATCCCAGTCACTGAATCAATCCACCTCATAGAGGGCCTTCCTCTCCTGCGCTGTCCCTCCACCCTCCCAGGCATGATGGCCCTCTCCAAGGACTGGTCTCTCCTCACAACATGTCCAAAGTATGTTAGACGGAGCCTCAGAATCCTTGCCTCCAAGGAGCCACCCGGTTTAACCCTTTCCAGGACAAATCTGTTTGTTTTCCTAGCAGTCCATGGTATTCTCAATACTCTTCCCCAGCACCACAGCTCAAAGGCATCAATTCTCCTTCTATCCTCCTTGGTCATTGTCCAACTCTCTGATGCATAACAAGTGATTGGGAAGACCAAAGCCTGTATCAGATGCACCTTAGTCTCCAGAGAGACACCATTGCTCTTCAGTACTTTGGAGAGGTCCCTAACAGCAGACTTTCCCATGGCAATGCGCCTTTTCATTTCCTGGCTTTGCTTCACATAGTGACCTTGAATTTGAAATAGCTAGAAATTTAAGATACAAGTTACAAAACCTATGGGCAGTATAGTGAATGAATCTGGACACATCAAAATAGGATGGAAGGAATAAACAGTGTCACTATGCCAAATAGGAAGAAATAAACAGTGTCACCATGCCAAATAGAATTGGCTGGCACAGTACCTTTTCTGGAAGTAGCATATGATCAAGAACCAATAATAATAAAGGAGGAAGTTCAAGCTGCTCTGAAGGAATTGACAAAAATTAAAGCCCTAGGAATTGATGGAATACCAATTGAGATTTTTCAACAAACACATTCTGCTAGGTTGTGTACTGTCTCCAGAATGCTAGTTGTATTTAGCTGTTGAGAAGTTAACTCATAATGGCTCTCTGCCCAACCCAGCAGAGCACTGTCTTGTTCTTTGCCTTCCCCAGGATAGGTTGTGGATCAGAGTGTTGCCATCCAAAGATTTTCTTTCATTGGTTGATTTTGGAAGTTGACCACTTCCAAAAGTAGTCTGTCTTAGGCTGTGAGCCCCACTGACCTGTTAGCGCATAGTAATCTGCCATGGCAGCCTCCACTGACTGATGATGGCTGAACTTGAGATCCATTGGCCAGGAATCTGGCCTGAGTCATGCTTAAGCCTTTGGTGGGTTAGTTTCTGTAAAAATATAGTAACCTTAAAAATACAAGATAGGCACGTGTGTAGATTTTCAGCTACACAGAGGTTATCTTGATCTCATATCTGTAAAGCTCTCCAGTCTGCAAGATACAATTCATTCAGCCAAATACAGGAACTCAAAGGAAAGTGAGACTATCCAAGAATGGAGAAAATTTAGAAAACTGAAAGAAGAAATGAGATGCTATTGCATTGATTTAAGAACAGAATATTGTTTTTAAAATGACAAGATAATGGATTCTAGACTAGTTAATAACGAAACTGAAATTAAAATAACGACAACAGAAATACCTTAAAATATTAAAGAAATTTCCCAGAAGATAATTTTGAGGGATAAACAGATGTTAGAAACTATGTAAGAAAAGTGGAGCATCATTGCAGGAGGACCTTGAAATTAGGACTATAAAAGACCTCCAAAAATTGCAAGAGAAGCAATTCTTAGAAGAAAAATTTAAGAACATTTTTTAGAACTAAAAGCCATATAGATGTCAAGAAGCGTGAATAAACCTACACCACAATATAATTCTTTTGAAATGTCAAAACATGTAAAATAATAAGAAGATTCCACAAAGCCTCCAGACAACAAGACAGACTTCCAGGGTAACCATTAGGTGATGCTACTTAGTTCTCAGAAAAAGTTCTTTTATACTTTGTCTATATTTGTATTCCAGATCCATCTTAAAATGAAACCAGTCATCATGAGAATTAGAATGACCATATTTTCAGACACATATCCTTTTTTATTTTATTCTATATGGTTTTTTAAAATGTGTATGTTTTTCTAGGTGGCAGTCTGGTGAAATACCTTCAATATTTAACCTTACTGCCTTTTGCAGAGTGATTCTACCACAGTTGTTGTTGTTGGGTGCTGTTGAGTCCACTACGACTCCTAGCAACCTGATGAAGAGCAGATCAGAACCTTGCCCTGTCCTGCAACATCCTCATGCTCTCTGTCACACTCAAGCCCATTGTTAGTTGTCTTGTTAAGGATCTCCCTCTTTTTCTGTAACCCTCCACCTTTCCCAGCACGATGCCTTTTTCTACATCTTGAGAATATGCCTAAGTAAGTGAGACTAAGTTTCACCATCCTTACCACTAAGGACCACTCTATTGCACATCCTTTGATATAGATTTCTTTATTTTAACAGTCCATGGTGCATTAAAATACTCTTTGCCAAATTCACAATTCAAAATTGATTGTTCTTCAGTTGTCTTTATTCACTGTCCAACTTTTATATGCAATTGAAAAGACTATGGCTTGGATCAGGTGTACTTTAGCCTTTACACTGACATCTTTGAACTTTGGAAAAGTTATTGGCAGCAGAATTGTGTCTTAAAATAATACCATTTTCTTTTGTTAAAGTCAATTAATAAAATTTTTTATTCTTTTTAAGTCTTTTGGCCTTTTTATATAGATCCTCTATGAAACATAATTCCTTTTCTAGGCTGCCTTGGATTGATAGACTCAAATACGTTAATTATTTTAATTATCCTTTCGTTGTTGTTGTTACGTGCCGTGCCGTCGAGTCACCTGAGACACAGCAGCTCTGAACCCTGCTCTGAGTCAATCTTACTGTCTCTGACACACCTAGCACTGTTATGCCAGTCACTGAGTCAATCTATCTTATCTAGGGTCTTCCTCTCCTGAGCCATCTCCTCTCTTCACCCTTCTGAGCATGATGTCCTTTTCCAAGGACCAGTCTCCCTGGCCACGTGCCCAATATATGTGAGGTGGAGCTTCAAAATCCTAACCCCCAAGGAGAAAGTTGGTTTCACCCTCTTCAAGACAGACCTGTTTGTTTTCTTGGCAGTCCATGCTATGTTCAAAACTCTTCTCCAGCACCACAACTTGAATGCATCAATTCTTCTGTGCTCCTTAGTCATTGTCCAGCTCTCTGAAGCATATTACATACACTCTAACCATCTCCATTATGTTTTCTTAGGATTTGTTCTTTTTTGTTGATTTGTTTCAAATTTGAGTTGTCCCGTTGGTTCAGTAATTTTCTAATACAAATGTTTATGGCTATGCTTTTTCCTTGGAGTTCCACCATTACTGCCTCCCACAAGTTTTTGAGCAATTACCCAAATAATGGCAAAGGATTCAATAGTATAGGAACCAAGCAGTGTATGTACTACTGGATGGATTAGGAGGAAAAGCTCACAGAGCCATGAAAGGCTTTTCCACTAATCATCACATACAGCATTCTGCAAAGGAGGGATGTGAGAACCCACGAGAGGTCCCGTTATACTTGGATTGTCAGGCGTTTTACCTGCATGAGTTGAGAAAGCACCAACTCCTCATTTCATCAAGAACTGCGTAAAATCGCAATTTAACCTTGGTTCCAAGTTTGCATGGTAAGGGTTTGTTATTAAAGCCTGTGGTTGACCAGTAGTGATTAACTTGAAGTAAGTGCTAAGCTAATTTCCGTTAAGCCTCCTAGGAAACCAAGCCCTTTCCCCCGACCCCCCTCTTTCTTTATTTACCCCCACCACCACCTTTTTAAAATCCTCTTTGGATTTCTTTCAGTTAGAGAAAACAGGTACTAAAAGTGAACTTTCAAAAAACAGAGAACACCCTACTACCTAGAACTCAAGAAATGTTTGCTGCTGGTGTCACTGCTTTGTTATTGTTAGTATTAATGCTGCTTATTGAACCCTCCTTTTGCTGCCTAAATAGCTAAGGTATTTTGTGATTGCTCTGTAAACACACTAAACTTAAAACTAATTTTTTTAAGCTGCTGCTTTTTTGTTTTCATTAAAACTTTTTAATTGTAATTATTTTTAAATTAAGAGATAATCAACAGTCATAGCAGAGTTGTCCAGTCTCACTGTCATTCTGTCCATTTTTATTTCACATACTTTGATACCATTTTATTAGATATTCTCATGCCTACTGCTTACCAAAACCAAACGTAAGAGTTGAATCTAACTTCTGTTTTCTGTAGGACAAATGAAAAGGACTAAATGTGCGGATATTGATGTTGAGACACCGGACTCTATTCTGGTTAATACTAATCTGAGAGCATTGATCAACAAACACACCTTTTCCGTTCTGCCTGGAGATTGTCAGCAGAGACTGCTTCTGTTGCTTCCAGAAGTAGATCGGCAGGTATGTCCATTCAAGGCCAAGCCATTTTGTAACCTCTCCAGGTTTCTCTTACTCGTTCTCTTTAAAATTCCTTAAGAATTTTAAAGGTGGTTATTGTTTTTAACTTTCTGTACCTGTTTAAAAGTGGGTTTAATGGTACTAAAGAAATGAGGGAGCTGTGGTTGCATAGTCCATAGGGAGCCGGACCACTCTCTCAAAGGTAGCCCCCAGCTCGCTGTTTGAATCCAGCTGTGGCTTCAAGTGAGGAAGATAGGCAGTCTCCTCCCTGTCATTTACAGCCTCTGAAAAACCAATTCTGGTCGGCTATGAGTCTATTCTGATTTGACAGTAATGAGAGTGAGTGAAAGAAGCCTCTTTTAAAAGAAACATTCTTAATAAATAGGCCCTATAATGCACATAAAATATAACAATACTGGAATATCAGGATTATTGGTGCGTGCTGTTAAATAGAAGGTAACTCAGAGCTGACCCACCATCGATTTTACAGAGGCTGTAAGTCAGTCAGAAGGAGATTGTCCATCTTTCTCCTGCAGAGAAGCTGATGGATTCAAATTACCTGCCTTTGTCTTGACAGCTCTTTACTCACTGGGTCACCAGAGTTCCCTAGAATGTCATGCTCAATTTATCATCTATAATGGTTACCGTGGTGTTTAATGGGTATAATGGACAGTGTTTGGTGGAGCTCCCCAATTAAAACAAGCTTGGAAGCAGGAGTGGTATCCACTTCTGAAATAGCTTGTCTCCAGAAAGCCTAAGAACTTGAAGAAATGATGGAAGTTATACAGTTGTTCAGGTCTTTCGTTCATAGGGTCGCTGTGAGTCATCTACAACTCGATGGCACTTAACTGCAACTGGTGTGTCTAAGTAGGCGTCAGTAGAAAACTGCTTAGGAAGGGATGAATAATTGTTCATCATCCTCAAGGTGTGGGCAAATGCTTCAGTAGAATGGGAAATGTTGAGAACAAGTCTAAGGTCTGGATTCAGATCATTAGAATTTAAAAGTTTTAAGTCATTTTGCTTTCATAGTGTAGAACTTAAGACAATATATACTATATTTTTAAAACCAAAGTAATAAGGAAAAAATAGTAAAAGTACTAAAAAATAAAAAGTAAAGTTCCTTGATCAGGAATACGGTTTAAGACTTAAGCTTTCACCAAGGGAAGAGCAAATAGCAAGTCCCTCCCCATTCTGATCCACTGGTTCCTCCTCCACAAAAGATAAGATGGTTCTGATTGTCAATTACCTTACTCTTTGTTATAATGTAATATGGTAGAGGCTTCTAATCTATGAAATGGAAGTACTTTTCCTGAATTACAGTAACATAATTACGATTGATGGAGCATAAGTTAGCCACTCTATATAGTTAGTTAATTGGTTTGAATTAAAAATTAAATCGAATTCTGAAAATTATCTTTTTACTTAACTATGTTGATCTCAGTAATATAGAGCTAGTTATGCATAACACATGTCAAAGACCGTCCAGTTCCCTTGTTTTAGAGTCCAGATTATCTGATATTCCAGGAAACACACACATTCTTTGATCAGTCAATTTATTCTACAGAATTTAAAGCATAAAGTTATTACCTAATACCAGAATGCGTATTTCTGTTCTGCTGACTGTGAGAAAACACAGGAAACTAAGTTTATATCTCTTTTGTTATTGAGTCAGAACCAACTTATAGCTGACCCTCCAACGGGTTTACAGAGGCAGTTAATCGCACAGGAGGAGATTGTCCATCCTTCTCCCACAGAGCAGCTGGTGGCCTCGAACCACATGCCTTTGAGATTGCAGTGCAGCTTCTTGCCAACAGAGCTCCCTATAAGTCTTTAGGGAATACATAAATGAATTGAGGTACATTCATATAATAAAACAGCATGCAGTAATCACAAAGAAGCAAAAACTGTGCCAGTTGACTTGGAGAGATTTCTACACTGTGGTGTTCCAATAGTTTGTATTAGGAACAAGAAATGAGTAAGAAGCAAAGTAGTGACTATATAACTTATTCTCACTTTCATAGAACAGATAATTTTCTTATCTGTTTACAAGTAGTTTTCAGATGCTGGAGAATGGAATTGATAGGCAGGATAAGTGAATAGAAAAATTTTTTAGGAAAAGGTAGTTAAAAATTAATATGTTCATAACCATGGTTATTGTTTGCTGTCAATTTGGAACTGAGTTAACAGCTGACTCTTCAGCGGAACTTCAGTGGCTGTTAATCGCAAGGGAGATGATTGCCCGTCCTTCTCTCACAGAGCAGCTGGTGGATTAGAACTATGTGCTTAGGAGATTGCAGTGCACTAGGCCAGAGTGTCATTGGTATAATGATGGGCTTCTTTCTTTACTTTAATTGCCCTTTCTCCCCCTAAAGAAAGTGAAGTACCACTTGACACCTAAAATTTCTTTGTAAGCTTTCCTTTATTTTTTTTTTTTACCCAGGTTGGTGTAGATGGTTTGATGAAATTAAACGGTTCAGCTCTTAACAATGAGTTCTTCACTTCAGCAGCCCAAGGCTGGAAGGAAAGACTCTCAGAAGGTAAGCGTTTTAACTCAAATATCTCTCAGGGTGGCCCATGGAACCGTATTTCTGTATCTGGAGTCACTGAAAGGACATACTGGATTTTCTGATCATCAGTAGGTAGTTAAGTAATTATTAAGGCAAGGGTCAGCATGTCTCCATCCTGTAGAACTCTAGTGATCCTGTAGGAAACATGACCAGATTCATGTGCAGTGAGTCTAAGTGAACAGTCCATAACGGTTTATTGAATGATTAGAGTCATTATGGAAGCTAAAATTAGAACAGACTTCTAGGCCCTATTCCTGATTTACTAAGTCTAGGATAGTTCTAGAAATTGAAATTTAAATAAGAAGAGTGTAGATGTAGAGTTGTTTTGTGCTGTTTGTCACTTTTTTGTAAGCAATGAGATAACAGTTTCCTGTATATCCTTATTAGTGCTCACTGCTTTTAGTTTTTCTGATGATAGGCCTCTGAGAGGAAATGAAGTGGCTTTCATTGTAATTTTGATTTGCATTTCTCTTACAACTTTGTGCACTTGTCTGTCATTCATATATCCTCTTTGTTGAAATATCTATTGAAGTTCTTTGCCTATTTTCTTTTGGATTATTTTTGTCTTTGTTGAGTTGTAGGAATTTTTTTATATATATTCTAGATATTTAACCTTCTGAACCGTGACTACCAAATAGTTCCTCTTACTCTGTTTTCCTCACTTTGTTGAAAACACAAAAGTTTTTCATTTTGGTGAAGCCTAACTGTTTTGTCTTTTGTTGACATACTTTTGGATCATATTTAAGAGTTTTCCAAAATGCTTTTGATCCCAAAGCTTTAGCCCTGTCTTTTATTCTAAAAGTTTTATGATTTTAGGTCTTATATTTGGTTGGTCATTCCATTTTCAGTCAAGTTGTTGTTGTTGTGTTGTGATGTGGTGTGGTTAATTCCCTACCTTTGGTCTGGAACTTTAAATGCCCTTGAATAGAGCATAACTTTCTCTTTTTCAATTATAGAGAAAAAAAGGATAGGAAATACGTTTCCTTTGAGAAACAGAACTTTTAAAACTCACCCACAGTGCCATTATTTACTGTAAGCATATCTCTCTTCTGCCATAGTGGAAAAGGAATACAAAATTAAAGGGTAGCGATAATATGTTTGGCGCTGGAGAGAAGCCCAGGGACCTGTGGATCTCAGCCAAGCACTAAAAATGTACTTTGAAAATGCACGGTGCACATGTGGTTTCATTCCTCCCCGTCAGAAACACTCTTATCTCTGCCCCACCCCCAGCCTTACGGTGAAGAGGTTAGAGCTTCTGTTTTGCTCACATGATAGCATTTTGATTTCTACATGAATCTTTCATGACTTACAAATAGTTAAAAGTTACAAAAAGTGGTTTTTTTACTGAATATTTGAGTATCATTTGTTTTTTAATATTATAGGTGAATTTACACCTGAAATGCAGGTGAGAATTCGGCAAGAAATTGAAAAGGAGAAAAAAGTGGAGCCTTGGAAAGAACAATTCTTTGAAAGCTACTATGGCCAGAGGTAATGTCAAAATAGATGGGTTTTGTAAATCAAATAGTTGTTTTACTCCCATTACTTTTCCAGAGAGCCAAGCCCTTAATGATCTTCTCGTTTTTATTTCATCCATTGTTTTTTACCTAGCGTTTGTTTTGTTTTCCCTTTTCCTTTGCACAGAATTCAATTCCTCATAACCGTTGACTTTTACCACACCATCATTGAAAGGTTTATTTGGGGGGGTGTCTGCCCTACCCCTAGTAACTTTATAAATACTTACACTTTTTTATAAATATAAATATGGTAATATTTTATAAATACACTTACTTTATAAGATTCCCCCCAAATAACTTTATAAGTATTTTCCCCAGTAACACTGAGGTTCTGTACATTTTTCATAATATTTCACTCACTCGTTTCCATTGAGTCAGAGCCCGTTCATAACCCACCCTCCATTTGGTTTCCAAGGCTGCAAATCATAGAGGGGGAGGTTGCTCTTTATCCCATCGAGCTGCTGCTAATAGATTCAAAGAGAAGTACGGGGTCTTTGGGCTAGGGGTGCAGCTCCTAAGAAGTGTGCCTCCAGAGTTCCCTGTGAAAATATTTCAACAATCCAAAATATGACCCAGAATTACTAAGGAATCCTCAGGGTCTCGTAATATGGACCTATTATACCCCAAATGTAATGAAACAGGCTCTTCTCTGCAGAATGCATTCTGAGAGATATACATAGCTGAATCATAATACAAACCCTGTCTTCAAGAAGCTATGTTGCTGTGGTGTACTGTCGAGTCGGCACCAACCCATAGCTGACCCTCCAGTGGGTTTTCAGAGGCAGTTCGTTGGAATCGAACGAACTTCTCCCGCGGGGCAGCTACTGGCCTCCAACTGCATGCCTTCAGGATTGCGGCACAGCTCCTTGCCACTAGGCCATCAGAACTCCCATAGTCTAATACTTTTTGCTAACAAAAAGTCTAAATAAAATCTTAATGGGAATCGTAAACAGGTGATGTTAGTGTTTTGTTTGAAATCCAATCAAATGCCCAAAGTCCTTTCTCTGAGTTTTTTTAGCTCCCTATCTTTTGTATAGGTGCTAGTTTTATCTTTAACCATTCCATCTTAGAGATGCAGTCCTGATTCTTTGAATTCACCTTCACAGACTGTACAGTTTCTTTGCCTGTTACATAGTACTTCAAACCATTAGGGACAATCTCTAATGACCTTTAGCAAGTAATCTAGCTCTTTGTCAAGACACAATATAGAAATTCAATTTGACCTCAAGATAGCTCAGGGCACTGACTCTTAATGTTAGCACTATGCCAAGTAGATTTTAGCAGACTTTCTGAAAACTTAATTCTTTTCAACCTTTGGAAGGCATTGACAGCCATTTTTCCTACCGTCTCTTTGTATTTTCTGGGCCAGCCTTCCCACAGGTGCTGCAGAGCATCATAGTGTCATAGTTCAAAACCTGCCACCCCACAGTGAATGATTCTTAGCCTTCTCCCTCACCCCCTAGTTCCCAAGTGGATAAACTACAGGGCACTCCTCTAGACCATGTGACCCTTTTATAAGCATAACTATTGACTATTACTGAGCTTGTGGTATAGTGGGTTAAGTCTTGATCTACTACCTGAATGGTCAGTGGTCTGAGAGAGCAAGGCGAGACTGCTTACATGGAGATTTACAGCCTTAGGAAACCCTGAGGCATTTCCACTCTGCCCTAGAAGGTTGCCGTAAGATGGAGCTGACTCAAGAGCAGTGAGATGAAGTACTATTCTAATAAGCTCTTTCATCAGAACTAAACTCTACAATAATTTATCAGTACCCAGTGTACTTGAGGAAAATCCCTACTTTGTTTCAGATGTTCTTACAGGAATATTTGATCCATTATCCTTCAGTAACATGACCCGTTTCTCAACTCAAATCCTCCTTTCTTCTACTTCTAGCTCTGGCCTGAGCCTCGAGGAGTCCAAGAAATTGTTAACTTCAACCAGTGATGCCAAAATAAAGAAAATTTCAGCTGAGCAGCCTAAATCCAGTCTTCCTTCAGAGGCCTCTCCCATCAGAATAGCCCCAGTAGGTGTCCAGGCAGAATCTAAAGAAGAAGTACAGGTGCCATCACCAGGGAAGAAGGAGGAGCCAGAGAGCCAGGATACGGTGCTCCCGACCATCTCCCCAGACACCACCCAATCTGCGGAGCCCCTTGTTTCTTCAGCCAGCAGCACGAACGAGCTTAGCAGCATTCTTCCTGTCAAATGTCCGCAATATGAAGATCTCTTGGAACAGAAGCCCATCACTGCTGAGGATTCTGAGAAAGAGAATCATCTCACAGCATCTTCTAATTGCAGCAGAAATGAGAGCCAGGATGCTTTAGTTAGATCTCCAAGCAAACCTACGAGCCCTGCAGTGGAACTACCAGTGATGAAGCCAGTAGTGGAAGCAAATCCACAGGAGACCACCATGAAGGAGCCCCTGTCAGCTCGAGTTGATCAAAGCCCTGAAGGCCTCAAGAGAAAGTCTCCTCTCACCCAAGAGGAGCCCCCGACAAGCTGGGAGAAGAGGCCGCGGGTCACTGAAAACTGCCCGCACCAGCAGCCATTTCTGGGCTCGCCACAGCCCTTTCTCAACAGAGCAGACAGGGGCCAGGTGCGAAGAGTACCGCCTCTCAAGGTAAGAATGCAGAGCGCTGAAAAGGAGAGGCGGTCAGAACTCTTTCCGTTCTGGTCATACTTACTAAATGTCAAGAAATGGGTATTTTTTACGTAATAAAACCGAAGTAGTTGTATATCTTTTATACGCATGTAATTCTGATAAGATGCTGCCTTAGGAGAAAAACAATGGAAACTGACCTTTTAGACTTTTCAGAACCACATTCCTACAGGTCATTATTGATAATTAAACAAGGAAGGAAACAGAATACAAAATGCCTCCCATAGGCCATCCTGTCTTAAGACAATTATGAAAACTATTCTCTTTTATATGATAAATATGCGATTAAGGAAAAGGAAGTCATGAACGCTTAAGAGATAATACATTTGTCCCTATAGGTATGATACTTGGCTAGATCTTAGCCCTTTACTTACTGCCATAACTGGGTTTTTTTACTATTAATAATAATTTAATTATTCATTAAATAACTGATTTTTTTATTGTGTCGTCTGTAATGACTTTAGCCTCCTTCATATTAAACTATGCTATGACTTGCCGCTTGAAAGATAGTAAAAAGCTTTGCCAAACTGTTTAACTTCTTTTTAGCCCTATATTATTAGAGCATATCAAATCATAATTCCTATAGGCCATGTCTCTGATGTCTTCAAGAACTGCATCTAACAGGGTTAGCTGTTTAAAACTTGAACATTTTTACCCCCTATCTTAAAGAGTTATTAATCATTACACTTTTGTTTAGTATTAGTTTGCAGTTCTCTTATTCACGTAATAAGCAGTATTACATATCTAGTAGTCACTCACATTAGAGTGAAGATAGAAAAAAGAAATGGAAGTAACTTTTTCCCCTTTTCATTTAACTTAGGTGAGTCAAAATGAGTTATATTAGGATATATTCCTTGGAAACATTGAATTCCTGTTATTTCATTCATTTTATATACTTTGTGACTCGCTTTCCCATCATGCTTCTTACCATCATGACTTGGTTTTAAAGTATGGTTTCAACATTTAGAAATCTGTCTTGTCTTTTCTGTCATCTCTGCCCTCCCCCATATTTTTTACTGTTAACTGTGTTAGTTTGCCAGAGATTTTGGAGTTTTTGTGACAATCTGGTATTCTAATCTTATAAAAAATATTAAAACCTTTTTTCATACTGTAAGGATTTATTTGCCTGTTCTATACTGTGAAGTTGGAACCCACCCATAGCTGACCCTCCAGTGAGTTTTCAGAGGCAGTTAATTGAACGAGAAGAGATTGCTCATCCTTTTCCCAAAGAGCAGCTGGTGGATGCCAACCTCATGTCTTCAGAATTGCAGCACAGTTTTTTTCCACCATCACACATTACAGTTTTCAAATTAGTGTACTGAAGTAATTGCAAATTATCAATTATTTTATTCCTTGTAATTTAAAGGTCTCCAGAAATATGGGAATTTCCAGAATACTTATTCTTCTTCAGTGTTCCAACACTTAAAATATTTTTAACTTCTAGTCTCTGATTTGTCATTGGGGATGATAAAGATGGCGCAGGATAGGACAGGGTCCATAGGGTCACTGTGAGTTGTACTCAAAGGCACGTAAAACTACAGCATATTCTGGAAGGTAGTACTGGTGTGTATTCTGTAGGGAGTTGTGCTACTAAATCAAAGGGGCAACCTTTATACCATTTCAAATCCACCAGTGTCTCCAAAAGAGAAAGATGGACCATTTCCGCCTGTGTAGTTTACAGCTTCTGAAAACCTGCTGGAAGGTCAGCTATGAGTCAGTTCTTACTCAAAGCCAGTGAGAGAGAGACTTCTGTAAGTTTAACCAACTACTTATAGTGTCCTGATTTTGATACTTCGTTATTAACTCTCAAAGTTTTCTTTAGTCAGAGTCCTTTTAGATATGATAGCATAATCAGCAGTTTTAAATCTAATGGTACTTCATGAATTTCTTGAGAAGTTTCTTCTCAGGGTTCCTATCTGTAAGTTTGGAAATAGGACTCAGGGCATCCGACAGCAGCTTTAAAAGCTCCACAAGTAGGTATACTTAGTCTTCACTTAACATGGTTAGGTTACAAAGGTCATTGTGTGAAATTAGCATCATGTAAGAGTCAGAAGCTGTCTTATCTTACCTTAAATACTGTTGTCCTGCCTCTAATTCACTGCACATTGGACACCATTCACACAGCCTGGACTGTTGATGGTACAGCAGGCTGTCCCTCATCACCACACCTTTCCCACCGCCTTGTAGTCCATGGAGACCTAGGGATGGTAGTGGTGGATATCAAGTGTCGCCTCCTGCCACCTACCATCCACTGTCTGCCCTGGCCTTGCAGCCCATCTCAGCCCTCTTTTATCCTTCCTCCAGCAACCTCTCCTGCATCTTCTGACCTGGCCTCTTCCTGTGTGTGTGCAATCTCACATGGCCCCACCCTTGTCCAGTGCCCTCTGTGGCTGGACCAAGATTAAGATGAACAGGAAAAGGCACCCTGCAGTCAGTCTCCCATACTGCCCACTCATTACGGGGGCCTCCAGTATATCATGATGGTGACCCATGGAGAGCACTCTGGCCTAGCCGAAACCTCACATGGGTCCCGGACATCAGAGATGCCACCCGAGAATTTTGCGGTTGTTGTACGTGCAAAGTACCAGGTAACATGATTGAAAGTGAAAAGTAGGTTTATATTGACAGCTAGAAATAAGAATCACCAAGTTAATTATGTACATACATATCTGCATATGCAGTCTTAAGTGTGCATAGTATGTGTACCTTTGGATTTATCTCCTAGTACTCTCTAATTATTTACTTCTAAGTCTATATGCACAGGATAGGACAGGGTTCGGATCTGTTGTTCATTGCGTCACTATGATTTATACTCGACTTTATAGCACCTAATAACAGCAGTCTCTATGCTTAATAACATATATAGAACAGAGCACAGCAAGTTTTCCCCTGCACTTTTGTATGAAAACAGTAATGATAGGATACTTTCCTCACTTCTGGTCCCCACTCACTTCACACCTACACATTTTTAAAATGTAATGCTATGGAAAGGTCTTTATCTAAATAATTATCATGTTAAGATCATATTGGCCTTAGGAGGAAGTTGTGTTTGGGAGAGGAATGGTAATATGTAGCAGGAATGGAGAAAAATGAAAGGGAATCAAGTGTTTGGCCCCCTATAGAAGCAATAGTGAATTTGAGGCAGATTTGTGTAGCTGTCTCCTTGGTTTAATCTCAAACCAGTCTAGACCTTCCTTCTTTGTCACAGATGCTGTAGTCTTCACTTCACTTTAGAAACTAAAATGTCAATGAAATGTTGTTATTCTTACAAATGCAAACTAACTCTGGTATCTCTTTTTTCCCCCCCTATTTCTTTCAGATCCCAGTCTCCAGAATCTCCCTCATGCCATTTCCTACATCGCAGGTCTCTCCCAGGGCTCGTTTTCCAATCTCCCTCACTAGTCCTAACAGAACAGGAGCCAGAACCCTTGCAGACATCAAAGCAAAAGCCCAGCTGGTCAAAGCACAAAGGGCAGCTGCCGCCGCCGCTGCCGCCGCCGCTGCAGCCGCCTCCGTTGGAGGGACCATTCCAGGACCTGGTCCAGGGGGTGGACAAGGTCCAGGAGAGACCAGTGACAGGAAAACTGCTAGAGGAGGGAGCCCGGGCTCAGACCAAGCCATTGAAACCAGAAGAGGCCCCACCCTGGAACTGGCAGGAACTGGAAGCAGGGGAGGTACGAGAGAGCTTTTACCCTGTGGTCCAGAGACTCAGCCCCAGTCTGAGACCCAGAGCCCAGGCCAGGCTCAGCCTCTTAGTGTCTCTGGAGCACAACTACAGCAAAGCCCCTCAGTGCCTCCCTCATCTGCCGTCAGCAGAGCATGCACAGGTGTCCCGTCACCACCCCACACTAACCCACCCCCACCAGCTTTAGAGAAACTGAACCCCAGCAGGACAACAGCCACTGTGGCCTCGCTCAGCCACGCACAGGGCTCCAGTCAATGCAGACAGGAAACAGCACCTTCTACTCTAGCAGGCCCTGCTCTAATCTCAGGTGCCTTACCTGTTCCTTTTACAGTTGATGGCACAGTTGACTCCAAAGCTGGTTCCACTAAGAATACACCAAACCCCTCGGCCTCAGCAGAGACAACTGCTAGAGCTCCAGTGGATATGGTCCCACCTTTGGCGTCATTATTGACAACAGCCACTTTAGAAAAATTTCCTCCAGCCCACGCCAGCGTAACCACAGCACCTGCTGGATCAGTTCCATCCTCAAGCACTTTGCCAACAATTTCTAGCCTTAAAGCCCCAGGAGCTTCTTCGAATATGAATGGACCCATTTCACGACCAAACTCTAGTATCCCAGCTAATAATCCTTTGGTCATTCAGCTGCTCCAGGGCAAAGATGTACCCATGGAGCAGATCCTCCCTAAACCTCTCACCAAAGTCGAAATGAAAACTGTTCTGCTGACTAAAGAGGAAAAGCGGATAGGAGCACCCACAGGTCCCAACATTATAGAAAGTAGCACAAGAGAGGAAATGAACGACAGGCAGTGCCACCCTGCTGCCCCGCTACTGGGGAAGGCATTACCGGGCAAGCAGCTCCCCCAGGTTCTGAGGACCCTGCAGTTCTTCTCCACGAAGGAGCTGAGGGACTCCAACACTGACACGCACACATACCAGGAAGGACTGAATAAAGCAACTCAAGAGCAGATCCTCCAGACACTCATTAAAAGGGTGCGAAGGCAGAACACCCTCCCTGTCCTGCAGCCCAGCCAGTTCAGCTTTGCCCAATCAGGTTTCCAGGCAGACAGCATCTCCACAAGCCAGAGGTTCATGCTAGGGTTTGCCGGCAGAAGGACATCCAAGCCTGCGATGTCAGGCCACTACTTGCTGAATATTTCCACCTACGGCAGGGTGTCAGAGAGCTTTAGAAGGACCCATTCTGTAAACCCGGAAGACCGCTTTTCTTTAAGTAGCCCCACGGAGGCCTTGAAGGTGAGCTCCACAGACTGTAAAAAGCCAGCTGGAGATAGCGGCAGCAGCAGAGACGAGGACAGCGAGGAGGAGAGTACTGGCGACGAACAGGAATCTCTACTGGTGAAGAAGGAGGCTCAGGCTCCCCAGAGTTCAGACAAGAGCGAAGCTAGTCCTGGGCTCCACAGTCGAGACGCCCTGTCCACCAGTGACTGCTTGACCATGAAGAACATGAAGGCAGAAACACCTGGAAATGAGCAGACCACTTTAAGCAAAGAGAACTACCTGTTCTCTAGAGGCCAAAGCTTCGATGAAAAGAGGCTAGCCAGAGATTTTATTCAGGCAGCACAGAAGCAAGTGGCTCACGCGGTGAAAGGAAAAATGATGTGCAGCAGCCCTGAGCTTTTCAATTCTGCTGTTCCTCTCCCTGCAGACAGCCCCACACATAAGCCTCTGCTCCTTCCACCATTGCAGACCCCTCAGCTGTACGGAAGCCCCACGCAGATAGGGCCAAGCTACAGAGGCCTGATCAACGTCTCCACCTCGTCCGACATGGACCGCAGCTCCTCCCTACCGGGCATGCCTGACGGTAGCCAGGTGTCTAGCAACATGAGTGATGTGATGTCCTTTTCAGTGACCGTCACAACCATCCCTGCTGGCCAAGCTAGGAATCCCAATAGCCACGGCCAGACCCTTCCTGTCCAGGCCTTTTCCGAAGAGAACAGCATAGAGGATACACCTTCGAAATGTTACTGCCGATTGAAAGCCATGATCATGTGCAAAGGGTGTGGTGCTTTCTGCCACGATGACTGCATTGGCCCCTCTAAACTGTGTGTCTCCTGCCTTGTCGTCCGGTAATGGAACCAGAAAGATCACACTGTAAGGGGAGGGGAAGGGAAGAGTGGACAAGCTGTGGGTTTTGGGGGTTTTTGGTGTCCTTTTGGAATCACAGAAATAAATGCATAGGTTTCAACTGTCTGAAAAGACAAATGTTACTTAATCAGGAACACAGAGTACAGGTCTTTTGCGTTTTAGAGGAAGAGCACCTTGTATAGTAAGTCTAAGTCAAGACAGACTTTGTGAATTTGTGACAAGTTTGCACTTAGAAAATCATGTAAATATGTCACATTTTGTTTTAACCTTGTTTTTCCAAATGCTTAGGTGATAATGTATTACTTTGAATTCAGATTTTTATTCCACTTCATGTGACTGAGGGAAGTGATACGTAGTGTAGGAGGAGGGAGGGGCGAAGGATGGGCTGAAGAAATGCTCATTCACAACTGCTTGGGTCTTGGCTATCCACCTGCAAGAGTTGGACTCAGGCTTTACTCAGTCCCTGTACCTTAGAAGGAAACTTTTTAAGTTCAGATTTGTCATCAGGGATCAGTTGCACAGTTAATGTTTTGTCCTCTGGAAGCTCTGACTTGGTTCTTTGCTCCATACATCCGTGCTGTTGCCAAGCTCTCCATAATTTGAGAATGCCTGCAGTTGCCTGTTCCTGCCCTCAGACAGGGACTGTGGACTTTGCAGTGGGACTGGGAGCTACCTCTCTAGACGCCATTGTGTTACCATAGCCTGGGCAGGACACTCCCAGCAGTGCATCCGAGTCAGCCTTGGGAGCTTACACAGGTTTACAGTACAGGGAAGAAACGTATAGAGAAGTTGAAGTGCTAGGACGATTTGAGTTACATGCTTTGTTGGGCAAAAGGAACGAAGTGCAGAGAATTGCTAGAGTGAGCACAAAGAATGTTGGTAAGCAATTTTTAACACTAGAAGCAAGGTAGCCCCCACCTCCCTTCTATTTTTTTTGTCTTATCCAGTGTTTCCTGTTGTAGATTAAAAAGCTCTTTTAATTCCATATATACCCATTCTGTTAAGCCTATTTTGACCCCACAGCTCTCTGTGGAGGATGGAATAATTTTATTGTTTTAGCACACACACAAAGAATAAAAGTCAGGAATTCTTCCTGTTTTAGAAAATATGCCCCTGGTTTTGGACTACTACTCTCTAAGCACTAGATATTTCTAATATAGAGGGACTTCAGTGATTGGCTAGTCATATGTTTAGAAAAGAGGAAAAAATTAGCCCCAAAGATTCTGTTTTGATTTTTTTGTTTTGCCTGCTTGTTGTTGTTGTGTGTATTATTTTTAATAGATTTTGTCTTTAGTGGGAAATTTTTTAGTATATAATATTTAAGTCATGGATTAAAAAACAGTAAAATAATAAATCTACAGTTTTCTACAATTTGGTTTTAAATTAGTGGATGGCAGTTTGCATCATTTGTATATTGACTTCAAGTCTCCTTATTTCAAGTGTGTAATGCAAAATGGTTTGTGCAACCTACTTGGAGTTCTATGTAATATCCTTGATGTGATCTTTACAAAACATAGAACAGTTTAAACCTGTGAATTAAGTCACATGCCTCAAATAGAAGAAAGGCAGTAATTCTTGCTTTGCTCCCGCCTGGAAGCCTGCACTGGGTCTGGAGCACTCTGCTGTCCACAGTCTACTCTGTGTTTTCACAGCCCCTGCTCCAAGCCATCTAGGAAACTCACTTCACTAGTTTTACATTACAGTCTGGATTGTTTTGTTTCCTGGCTCAATGCACAGATTTAGGATTAATAGTTGTGCTCCAGGTGCGGCCAAGCAATTGCGATGTCCTCGCATCCTGCCCCTCTCTCCCAGCACACTTATATTTAGGGTCTGAAGGCTGTAAGGATCCAGTGATAAACAGTAAGGACCAGCAGGAAACAAACACCAGGGCACTGCCCCTGAACTCTCAGTAAGCACCCGAGGGTTTAAAATGAACCTCCTTGTTTAAGTGGCAGGGCAGAGGACTGGTACACATGCTACAGGTTGTGTGTGTCAGACTGACTCATGCTAAGTAGCAGATTACCATTGTGGATTAATAAAAGAGACTTTCTGCTTTGCTCCTTTCCCGTCCTAGAAAGGCTTTCCTCCATGCTTCCCTCAACCTGAGGACAGACACGCTGTACCTAAGAAAGGAGAAAGACATCAGGGAATTCTGAGACCATTTTGAGAGCCAGCCATATAGTGCCTCTTCGTCTTGACCCAGGCTAACATAAGCAGGTCCTCAGTGTTACTGTTCACCAGATTCTTGTTACAAATAATACTCAAAAATATTTTTATCTAGGAACACATCTAAGACGGACGTTTCCAGCTAGGTGTACTGCCTTGGTTACCAGATAAGAGAACGGGTGGATTCCCATAAAATTGGTAGTAAATTGAGTTCTCGTACTTTCAAAAAGAAAGTCATTCATCTTGTAAGAAAAACCTTTAGTCTGCCCCTTTTGGAAAATGAAGATGTAGAAACAAATGTTTAACTAATCCAGTACCTTGAAAGCAGTGTTTACCTGAGGTTCTCAGAGTTGTTCGCCTTTTAGTTCAGTCTGACGTGTGTCCTAGTAAGTGCGCAGCTCCCTCTTAGGGCGTTCAGTTGCTCTTCTTCCAGTGACTAGCCAGGCCGTGTGCCTGTTGCAGAGGCCTTCCAGTGCACCGTCTTTAGCCTTCAGCCATTTCCACTTCAGGTCACCTGGAGGAGAGAGCATTAACAGTGTATCATCTCAGTCTTATTTATGAATGTTCTACAATGCCTAGTAGAGAAGGCTCCATGAATCTCAGCGAATTTGAATTAAATTCTCCATTCTTTGAGCAAATAGATAACTAGGAGTTGTTTGCCCTACTCCATAACTCTTTTGTGCACCACATAGTGAAGCTGTCTGTGATATATCCCATGTGACATTATTTAAGTAGAAGAGCTTGCCAGTGGAACAATTTTTCCGTGAGGGCTGGTAGGGAACACATTAGATGGTTTGGGAAGGCACGCTGATGTAGATGTTTTATGACTTAAGCATCACATTTAAATAGCCAAAGGAAGACCTCATTGCCTTCCAGGTGAGGGTGTTAATTCATCCATATTAATGACCTTACAGTAACCATCTCAATGGCTTCCTTATTGCCTTTTTCCACCTTAGAGACCCTTAAAGAACTCTTGGGTGACATGATTTGTTACAGTGGAGAGATGACTCTGTGTCACTACGGTGATACTTCTTCGTAGCACTCACTGTCAGTGAGCAGTGGTCTCCCCTGTGACCCCAAGCTTGCACATTGCAGCCAGGAGGGAAAAGTCTCCCTGCTGCATGACTGCAAAGTGCTAAGGAAAAGACTTGGTCCGAAGGTATTTTTCAGCTCAACTTCTAGAATAGTCCAAAGAGACTTTGGGAAACTTGATGCTAGGCAGGGATCTTTCCTACCATGTTCAGTACCTACAGACCTATTGACAGAGAACAATAGGCAAGATAATTTCCTAAAGTTGAGTAGCTTAAGAGATTCTTGGTTACTTTATTTTTTTTAATGCTTTACATTTGATACAACTATTAAAGATCAATTTTAAAAATAGCTTTCCAGTAATATATTTTGAGTAATATATATTTTAATATCTATGTAAAAAGTGACAGTGGAAGACTTTGGATTTCTCTTAAATGGTGTGTTAACTGTAGAACCTCACTGTTAAGGCACAAATTCTTTCAAAGGAAATTAAAGTCACTCCAATTATTTCCACAAAATGCAATAAGAGGGATAGTTTGGGGGTTTATTTTTTATTTTAAAAAAAAAAAAATTAACGTATTTACCACAAGCTATTTTTTCCCCTTCTGGCTACAAGGTTTGTACAGACTGGTTTGGTAAATGCGAAGCTTTTGTGTCTTTTGCCTTTTTAAAGGAATTGTTAACATTGGAATTGAGGGTATGTACAGAGAAGTTGGTGTCAGCACCATCTAAAAAGTCATATTTTTTCACAAATAATATAGAAAAAATCATTTTACATAAGAATTTTAAGTATTTGCAATAAATATATGTATATAGATTGTATGTATTCATATATTCTTATTTTTCATTTTATTATTAAGTAAAAGATAATTAAAAGTGACAATAAAAACCTTGGAGTTTTTGGTGACTTTTGAGATCTAACATATAAGAGTGATCAGGAGAAGGGCCCTTACTTGTCTCTTCCTACTGCTTTTGGGAGGTCACCACAGACTGTGTGGGAGGAAAGTAAAATGGGGCATTTGGTGGTAAACAGAGTAGTGTATTCCTTTTAGAGTAAACTTGTTGTCGAGGGTCTTAGTCTGTCTGGCTCCTCATTTTCCGCCTTCATCTGGTCTGTCACTTAACTGCCTCATACTCGTATTCCTGGAGAACAGAAGAAACCAGGTAATGTGGCTGTTGATTGTGTCTAAAGCACAGAGTGGTAAGGAAAATATCTCTGAGGGGAGAAGGAGGTTTTCCTTTCTCCACAGAAAATTGTCATAATTTATCAGCAAACATTCATCACTTCAGAGCCTCTAGGCGTACGTACAGAAATAATCACATGGAAACTGTTAGAAGGAGTTTTTCCCTGATTGCAATTCTCAGAGGAGTGTGATAACTGACTTCAACTTCTTTTCTCACTACTTCTGAGAGAGGCGGGAGGAGCCACGAGAAGCCTGGACAAAGAAACACCTGGGTCTTGATGGGATTCCATTTCCGCTTTCCACCTGATGTTGACAGTCCTTGTGTCAGGAGGGACGTTTATGAAAATGGGGCCTGGGTCAACTGATACACTAATGCCATACCTAGGGATAGCTTTGGATCCTGCGCTCCAGAAAAACTCAGTTTGTCTTGATTTGGATTTATGACAGAGATGGAGGAGAGGACACTTTGATGCTCTTTGGGAAGAATGTATAGATTTGTTCATTACATGGATGAAAAGCTGATAAAAGCCTGGAAAATATCTGCGTGACAAACTATTAAAAATTGCTAGACTTCCCTGTAATTGCTCAGCTATGGTTATTTCTACT